TCATCAAAAAAAATTTCCACATTTCATTCCTTTCATTTGTCATTCGTTTTTATTTATGTAGTTAGTTGAAAATATTAATTACGTTAGTGTCTCTTTTCTTACTCTGTTAAAAATATAAGTATTATTATCATAGAGCTTTCTTTGCTTCTGGCATCCATCGCTATTCCTAAGTTTCTTCTACAACTATGGATCTTCCAAAATGTTCTCGCGTGTCGAACAAAGTTCTGCAGATAATATTGTCGAAGAACTTTCCTTTATAGAAATTACGGTTCTAACTGAAAGTAGGGCGATAATTCTCTGATACTTTTGCTCTCTCCTGCTTGTTAGACAACCACAATTGTGTAGGCATTGTTTCTAGCTCCGATGCCTCGACAATTAACTCCAAGTTAATTGCAATATTTACTATAATGTAATAACATACTACTTTTTTCGACGCGTCACATCGTTGAAACATGTATTTAAATATGTCATTTATAATTATAAAAATGCTGTCTTTTTGTTTGCAATTTTTATTTTTCGACGCAATAATCAAAATTAGTATAATACCACTGGTATTGTGTGTGTCATTCTAGAGTTCATGCTTATACTGAAAGTACATTTAAAAAAAAAAAAAAAAAAAAAAAAAAAATTAGCTTTACTTTATCGTTTAAAGGAAAGAAGGAAACAGATGACTGTTGTGTTTAAGCTAGCACAAGTTCCGTAAGAATTTGTTCGCTAAACAACAAACCCTCCTCGAGATCAAGACAAACTCATTTCCATACGCCTCTCAATACCAACTGTATATTTTTGTGAAACGTGTGACGGCAGCTTCTATTTATACAATATGTGTCAATCGTTCGAGATACGATCACTCTTCTTCGGAAAACAGATAGAATCTTCATTGTTGTTCACATTTCGCGGCTGTTACACTTTAAATTACTTGCATAAGTAAGTATGAACAGGATGTATAAATCTGTGGGTGGGGGCTCCAATGCGAATTAATATTTCTACGAACGATTCAAAACAGTTTGAAGAATTTTGTACACGTTCGCGTATTCTAAATCTTTCAAAAAAAAAAAAAAGAAAAAAAGAAAAATAGTAATTTCTCTACTTTGGTCGCATCCGTTCGCGGATTAAAAGGAATTTTAAATGAACTTTTATTTAACGTGATAAAACACACGATTGAACGTAAATTACTTGGAAACTTGCGATCTAGCGACGTAAGTTCACTTCTCGAAGCGTGTAAGGTGCCATTATATAACAAGGCGCACTACTCCATGCCTGTAAATCATGTTTTCTTTTGTTTTATCAATTGAAGTTGTACTGCTGGCAATATTTATCATCCTCCTAATAGCTTCCCAAATATTTGCAATTTACTAATGGAAGAACACCAAACGCGCATTGGAATATATCGCATTATGAGAACCTTTAAACTTGCTATAAACATGTTAAAAACAACATAAACAAAGATAAGGGTAGCACGCCTGAGTCATTTCTTCTGAAAGTCATAATTCTGGTTTAGCTGTTTCATGCACGGCTTGACCTTCACTCAACATATATTGTTATAAAAAAAGAAAAAAAGAAACGGAAGATATTATTGTTTTAATTTGAAGTGGCAAAGAAATATAGATAACCTTTATTACCCTCAGGAAATCGCGGTTTCATACACCATTTCATTACACTCTGTGTTTCTTGTCAAACGAGCAAAATGGAGTAAGCAATGTGATTGGATTGAGTATGTAAACAGAGCACAGCATAAAATCATTGCTTCTCTGTGCTGATAATGGAGTAATTAAAAAGAAAGAAAAAAAAAAATGAATGCGACTTGGGTCAGCCATTTGGGAGTCATTTGAACAAAGATTTATTCAAAGATATTCAAAAATTGTTCACTTTCAAATTTTCACGGTACAAGCAATTTATATATTATATATACTAAATATATATATACTATATATATACTAAATTTCATAAAATTCGAAATTTCATCCAAGCCGCAATTCATTAGAACCATCTTAGACTTAAATCATCGTATATTTAAGATGGCTGACTCATGCCAATATGCTATGCATATAAAAGATTACCATACATATGCTAATTTTTTATTATAGATAGCAAATATATATGTATTCTTTAGTATAATAAAACTTTTGAATAATATTATATGTATATATATATTTTATATATATATGAAAGTTATTTTATAAAATGATTTTATTTCATATATAAAATTTTAAGGTTATTTCATGTATACATTTTAAAATTAGTTCTGACTAATTTTCACAACAATCGTCTTTCACCGCAGAGTTGATGAAATTTCATAGAGTATATATGTATCATAAAAGTCGTATATTACATGGCTTTTATATATGTGTAATATATATAAATAAAAGTTTTTTTTAGAGTGAATATTCGAACATCTTTATGAGCCACTGTACATACATGTACAACGCAATATGTTTCATTTAATTCTAACATCGTTTATGAGCTTTGCGTAGACCACGTGTGTCCGGTCAGCAATCGTTCGAATTAAACACTTGGCTCGCTCCCACATTCTAAAGACAAGCATAGACAATGACCAATATTCCCCTTTTCTCTCATATGAAGCCAGCCGACCAAGACTTCATCTTCCACGCTTTCATCTCTCTTTCTCTGCAATATTTATGTTATCTACGTTGCAAATGTTAAGTTCATCAATCTAAGTCTGTGATTTACTAATTTCACGTTGTAATATTTGGATACCAACAGACGTAGATAAAAGTAGTGTCTTGAAATCATTTTCATCTCTAGAAAAAAAAAAAAAAAAAA